ATCACAAGAGCCATCCTGTAAATCTAGCAAATGGAAAACCCCTGAGCTTGCCAAATATATAACTTCTGACTGAAATACTTTCCCGCTGTCCCACTGGCTGAATGTTACACCAAGGTCCTTGAAAATCTTTCAAAAATTCCTGATTTTCTTATGAAAGGGAACACCTATCTACAAAGGAAAAAGGGTGACATTTACAACCACAAAACCATCGACCAACCATTTGCCTATCGACTGTTTATATATGATCACTGGGAACTATTACATCTTAGAAGAGGAAACCAAAGAGTTGCATCAAACGGTCGATGGGTTGTAAACATAAGCTGACAATTGATGCAGTTACCCTGGAACAAGTTCACAAAAGAAGGCACAAACTGCATATGTGCTACATAGATTACCAGAAGGTATTTGATTCTGTCCCGCACAGTTACTTGCAAACGATTCTTGAGATATACGGTGTATGTCCAAAAATCAGACAGACACTTAGTACAATGATGACGAAATGGAGAACGAACAAATGGATGAATTCGGAAAATATATGAGTGGTTCATATTAAAAATGGAATTCAAAGAGATACACTGTCACCGTTATGGTTTTGTCTAGCAATGCATCCAATGTTCAAACTTCTGAATAATAGCAACATTGGGTACAAATTAATTAAAAGAAATAATGTACGCTTGTTTCATTTGTTGAATGTTGATGACCTCAAACTCTATGCGGAGAGCAGAGACAAATCACAGGGTCTTATTAAGACAGTGAAAGTGTTCAGTGAAGATATAAAGATGCCTTTTGGACTATACAAATGTGCCATTATAGACATAAAAAGAGCAAGATCGAAATCCACAATGAACCAATTAGAGATATCAAGGAACTTCCACCCGATGAAGTTTACAAATATTTAAGTATGCCCCAAAGCTACCGAATAAATCATTCCACATAACGAACGCTCTGACCGGTAAGTATAGATCAAGAGTTACAAAAGTTCTTAACACTAAATTAAAGGAAAAACAAAACAAATTATATTAGTGAACTCTTGGTCAATTCCTATACTTTCTATTCTTTCGGAATTCTCAAGTGGTCGTATGCAGACCTAGCTGAATTAAATAGATTGACTAGAAGGCTGCTTACTAAATTCAACTATCTTCATACAAACTCGTCTATTAAAATACTATATCTACCCTGAAGAGAAGGAGGAAGAGGACTGCTAAACATTGAAAATCTCTGCAGAAACCGAGAAAGGAAAATGAAGCAAAAGTTATTCTCGTATGAAGATGCCTTAATGAAAATGGCTGTATAAGCAGATCATGGTCATACTTCAGTAAACTTGAGTGCATTTAACACAGGAATAACGGAAACTGCAACAGGAACAACCAAAAGAGACAATTCAAAGAGATCTAGAAGATTGGCAACAAAAGGCAATGAAAATTTCCTAAAGCTATCCATGAACCTAATGTTGAAACACATTCCTCGCTGCAATGGCTTTCACACGGCTATTTATACCCAGAAACAGAGGGATTTATAATGGCAATCCAAGATAGAGTATGCCGAACTAGGAACTACGAGAAACATTGCATGAACATGCCCGTGGTTGACAAATGCAGGACATGCAGCACCAGTGGTGAAACAATCGAGCATATAATGGCATGGCATGGCAATCGAGCATGTACTGCACTTCCCGACAGCGCGTACTTGGGGAGACACTAACGACTAGCTAAGATTGTCCGTTAACAATTGGCTTTCAAGTTTAGAATGTTAACTAGTAGAGCTACCCCATATAAAAACTGCATCACCACAAACCAGCATCTGTAATGGAAGCAATTAGTACCATCATTTACTGGCATAGATACATATTAACAGATAAAACTGTGGCCTTCAATAGACCAACTCACTTAAATCGTGATAACCTGCCATTACTATACTGCTGTATACCGCTGATAGCAGCAGTAGCCGATCTAACAACTGTACCAAACTCAGGTTGTCCTATTTAGTCGTTGCCGACCGAAGCGTCGTATACTGATTAATACCAGATCTCTTTATTTCAATACGCATGGTTGTACCAGTTTTTTGTCTCCTCAGTGTATATCCTTTGAAATCTAGATATCGAATGTTTGCAGCTTTTCGCACCTTTCTCCGTCCTATGTGCACGAGTAAAGTTATCTTCACTTTTTTATATTTTATGTAGCTTGTGAGTTTTGTTTATTTTGACTTCTCTGTTACAAATTGATCTGGAAAAGTTGAATAGTTTAAAATTAATTAGAATTAACAGAAATCTATTGATTACTGCACTACCTGTTCTATCGGAAGTGTTTTTTGACGAAACTTGTTTATGATTGAGCTGTGAGTACACACAGTAGTTTGTTATATGATAATCACTTAAGCAACTTGCAAATAAAATTGAATTGAAATTAAATTAGATTGTAGATCCTTACAAATTTCTGTTTTCTTGATGATTACTTTTCACTTTCGTCTGTTTTTTCAGTTTTCTTTGTTCGATGTTTAATTCGCTGGCAGAAAATAAGTAAACTGTGCTTTCTTTCATGAGCAGGTAATTGTAGAATAGAGAGAATGGAAGTGCTTTTTTGGAGAAGAAGAATCACGAGATCTCTTCCGAGGTGTGGCTCATTGTCTCAAGGCGAAGTTAATAAATGCTTTTCGCCTCCTCCCGGAGCCCTTTACGATTCGCCTCATCCTTGCATTTGGGAATGTCTACGTTGGCAAAAACCTGTTTCAAGTTGTTTTAAAGAAGAAGAAAAAGCAGCCTTATTTAGACTTCTGTTGTTTTTCCAACTTCCAGTGGCGTATTCAATGGGAGGGGGCTTATGATGCCCCCCCACAGAAGCCAATGGTACATATTTATAATATAGCTTTCACTAATTTTCCATACTAACGTAAATCAATATACCAACATTATAACATTATACGTACTATTAAGTCAAATAAAACCTACATCTTATATTGAACATAAATGAAAAATAATTATAAATAAAGTTGGTCATCATGTTGGTTGGGCGTGCTCATTTCTGATTCTAAGACGTCTAAAGCAATTGCATTGATTATTGAATTGAAATAATTTGTGAGACGTTTGAGCCTTGGCTTGTCTTGGATGTCTTGGCTGTCAGCTCGATCGAATGAGACGTGGCTCATTCCGTACTGGCAATAATGAAATGAGTCCGGCCGCGGACGCATACGAATCCATCTATTTTGTGAGAATTTATCCTCACAAAAGGACCTCATGAAATATATTTTTTTGTATTCAATTTGACAAGTTTACTCTTTTTTAGTCTCAAAATGTTTTGTCTTACGCTTACGGGAAGAATTTAAACTGACATCTAGAAACATTGACATAGTTCCCAGTTGTTCAAGAACTTTTCTAGATCTTCTTCTGTAATAGCCATGGCAGAAGGTTACTTCTTCTCTTCTTTTTTCCTCTTTCAACCCAGTCTCAATTAAGACAAATAATTACTAATAGAAGTTGTGATCTTGAAAGAAGAAAGAAAATGTCATGGTTCAATCAGTTTATCATTCTACTATTTAAAGCAGCAGGTCATCATGGAACTGTGTGGCATAACTTCAACAAATCATTTCATGAAGAGAGATGATCAAACATTTTGACGAGACAAAATACTCAACCCATGCAAAACGCACTTTCAAGAGAGGGAAGCCAAATATTCTGGCGAAAGGTCGTGCTTTCTTCGCAGTGGAAAACGCGAAACCGTAAGTACTAGCGGAGGCCAAGAGCCATTGAGGAGCCTCACTGCGTACAAGGCAACGACGAAATTTCCACTCGGGAATGAATATCACATCCGCATTCGTCATTGCTGGAGAGATGCGACCGAAATGTAGTGAAGCAATATTCGTAATTGAGAGGAGGTCCAGGCTATTAGCGACACTGCAGAGAGACCTAATGAAAGTTATATCAAGTATATTCTTTTCGCACGGCAGCGTAAAAACTTATCTGAGTTCTTTTCTATTGTGTCGAATATTACGAACTATGTGTTTTCATAATTACAGAAATATACGAAATTACAGAAGTGTTATGGACGACAAAGAAGGGTGGCTTGATACGAATATTTATAATATAGCATTAATTTTATAATTATAGCTTTCAAATGTTTTCGTAGATATCTCTGTCCTGATTAAGCGCCGACATTTTTTACTTTCCGGAGAGATAATGATAGATTAGAAACAGGTTTAGCGCATTTTTAATTACTGATTTTTATTGCGTTAAGTTGTTAGTTAATTTTAATAACTCGTTGAAACATTTTTGTCTAAGAAATCAAAAACATATGAAAAGGATGATGATTAGGGTTACGGAAAATTGTATTTATTTCGTTTTGTGTTTAATGCCAATTGCGCAGGGAAAATATATTGTAGACTGAAGTTATCGTTCGATTCCGAAGATGCAGTGAAATTTTGGAATTGCTTTAAAACAAAGGATATGTGAACGAATGAATGAAAAAAAAATCATCCACATTTATTGTGTATACATGTTATGTTAATGCATTTTAGCAGCCTTCAAGAGCAGAGATGGCGCCAATCCGCTGACGAATATATAATTTATGAGGGTAGAAGAGATAGAGACAATTTTTATTTCGCTAGAAGTGACCACTTTTAAGTTGAGGGCCGGCGGTGGGTGGGTGCTGAGAGGCGACGGCGGGCGTGACCGCACCCTGAGCTTCTTGAAGGAAGCGGCCGCCGCGCGAAAGAGAGAGTGCCCGGCCTCCCGCCCGGCCGCCGGAGGGGGAGTGGGGCGGCGACGGCGGCGACGGCGGCGGCGGCGGCGGCGGCGGCGGCGGCCGCGCTGCGCTCCGCAGCCAGTTCCAGCCTCCGTGCGATCCTCGACGGGCGAGCGCTCCGTCCCGCTCCGCTCAGCCTCCGCGCGCCCCGAGCGTCCGTCTGTTGGTGCCCGAGTCGGTGGGTGAGCGCGTGCGGGTTCGTCGGAGAGTGCGAGGTGCCCGCGAGCCCAGAGTCGGCGCAGCCAGAAGCCGCAGCAGCTGTGCAGCATGGCAGCGCGCGGGGTGTCGGTGTCGGCGGCGGCGAGCGCAGCCCTGTGGAGAGGCGCCGGGCGGCCGCTGCTGGTGGCGACGTTGGCGCTGGCGCTGGCGCTCGCCGCCGCGCAGGCGCAGGCCCGCTCGCAGCAGTTTGCGCGCGGCCAGAAGGTCGACACAAGTGAGTGACGCGCCTCCTGCCTTCGATTGGAGCCTCCTTTCACGCAGTGCGCTCGCGGATCCTCGCCCACCCGGCCATCGCTCACAATTTCACTTAACGTGTTCACAATCGCCGGGAGTGTGTTCGGATAATTGTCTATTTAAAGTTTTACTCATTCATACACGTTTTCCTGAATCTCAGAACTAGTAATCTGACGTTACTTCTCAAATACATGAGATGATAATCACATATCAAATACATCACAATCCAAATCAAATCCACAAACCAAATCACAATGTGAGAAAGGAAAAATAATCGCCCACAATAAAGTATAATAATTTTATAAATTATTACATTCCCAGAGTTAACTTTCAAGAAAACACTTTTCCCAACCTCAGTGGGCCTTGCCCAAGCAACGTGAATTAAATACAAATGTTCACAACATGTTCGGAAAAATAAGAAAACTGTAAAACATGCTGGGTACGGCTAGGTGGCAGGCATCTTTTGTAATCTTTTTTATTATTATTTTTTAAGTTTTCGTATTTTTACGACCAAATTGTGAACATTTGTAAGAAATCCACTTCACTAGGGCAAGATTCACTGAGGATGGGAAAATTGTTTTCCTGACAGTTAACTTTGGGAATGTAATAACTAATAAAATTATTATACTTTATTGTGGACGATTATTTCCTTTCTCACATTATGGATTACCACAAGGTATCTGCTACCACCACGGAAATATTTCACAATTAATTTATAATTTTAGTGTCAAGAATATTAGCTACAAAATAACATATTAGCTACAAAAATTCGAAAATTAATTTCCAAAGAACCACTTTACTATACATATCTGGGATAACAGGTGACTCTGCCAAAGTTGCGCAGATATAAATGACAGCTTAGACTTTGCTTGCCTTGAACATTCCGGTATGCATGCTAATGAAGGGTAGAGCCTAGGTCGTAATGAAAACGCAAGAATATTGTATAAAAATATTGCATGCCTACATAATCAAGTATTCTTTTTTCTGTTGCACTTCGGAGAAATTGTAGTGCTACTTAACGCGAAGATGTTAAGAATGAAAGACTACAAACGAAAGTTATTTATTTACATGTTAAAGTAGTTTTATTTAACTATGATTTTCGGTTCGTATGAGAGCTGGCACCTGACGTAGCATTGGGCTCGTGGAACGAGCACGTTAAGAATTTGTATGTTAAACATCACGCACTGGAGAACACCTGCTTCTCACTGGATTCTTATGCCCAATGACCTACATCTATGAAGCTCAGTAGGTCTTCGTCACGTTAAACACTCTCTCGACTCTTTGCATGTCAAAATGTTTGCCTCCTCAAACAAAACCAAAGAATGGAAACTGTTTCGAAATTATCAATATACATCTAGTGATTTGTCATCAGGAATATACATATTTCACAATTAACAAATGAATTAATAACTAATTTATTTAACAATTTGGTCCCTAAATTACAATCACAACATACGAAATCGAGGATCATATGTAATTCATAGCTATGTTTGACAATTGTTACGAAGGATTGAGGCATTGAAGGATTGAAAAGTAGGATGGAGGCAATACTGCGGTAAATGTTAATAGTTCTGACATTTTTAAAAATAGGAACATTAATACTTTTTTCAGAAATTTAAAACGACACCCTTTTTGGAGGCATTTTGAAAAATAATGTTTCTGCATCCAAGATTATAAAAACTTTGTTTAAAATATAAAAAAAGATTGTTTTAATCCATAGGCCCATAGTTTTTGTATGCTGATTTTTAATACCGACAATTTTTTATGGCCTGCAATTCAATCCTTTTTAAACTTTTAACCAAGTTTTTACAATCCTGAATCCAAACACACATTTTTGAAAAATGATCCAAAAAAGGACCGAGATGTGAAAATAAATTGCTGAAAAGTATACGTGTGTCTGTTTTTAAAAAGGTCAAAATCTATTTTCATTAATAGCGATTTAGACATAATAATATGATTGCGTAATACAGTCAACGCATTCCTTAAAATACTGTTATTAACTGGTATTTTTGTGAGAAATTGATATATTCGTGCTAGCAGTACTTACAAACACTGCAAAATATTTTTTATATATCAAAACACATTCGCAGATGTTCTGAAAAGTGTCAGAAAGTACACTATTAATGAATAGGAAAAAATATATGATTGCAATTCGGGCGAATGTAATGACAGGGAAGAAGTCTGGTCAGGTCTTCGTAATATTGTGTATACCACTGTGCGAGAGCCGCTCCGGAGGCGGCGTGTCGCGCATTATGCGGCCGTCGATGAGTAGCGATGTTCGCGTTCACGCGGAGGTATCGTGTGCGCGGACGCACTGGCCAACTCAGACCGTATCTTCGCCGCCTCTCTCGTCCGATGCAGAGCGCCCGTGACAAGCGACGGGCATCGTTGTCGCCGTGGAAAGTCCCGCGCGAAGGCGCCGGCAACGGAGGCGGTCTGGCCGAGCCGGGCGGTTGCGGCGCGGGCCTGGCGAAACCGGCGTCCGGGGGCGAAATCGTCCTGATCTCGTAACACTGGTAGATGTTTTCGGCGTTCGCGTGCTTAAATATAAAGGACAAAGCGACACATGCATGTTAAGTTAGAGCAGTGCGTAACTGAATCTTGCCAAAGAAAGGAAGTGCGAGGAGTTGCCGAGCTGAAATTGTGAGGCGATAACTGAGTCAAAGACTAAATGACGAATAACAACGAGTAAACTCGATATTATTATTATTATTATTATTATTATTATTATTATTATTATTATTATTATTATTATTATTACTATTATTATTATTATTATTATTATTATTAAGTAAACTATATAAATACTATTTGATTTAATGCTGCATTTTTAAAATTAGATATATAATTAATACTTATGAATAAATTTGAAAGAAAGCTAATACTCTTGAGACAGATTCACTTAATCTATTTTAAACTATACAGCTAAAAAACGTGAAGTGGATAATCATTACTTTTCTTCAATAAAAATATCAAAAGAGAAAGCAGAGGAACATGGGCGTTATGGCATTAGTGCTCAGTTAAATACTCATATGTGTGAGTTCTTTGATTTCACTATTATTAAGAAGAGCGGAAAGTGAACAAAATTGGGTATATCAAGCATTTATTAGAAGGCTCTCACAAATTAAGTGCAGATAATGACGCCAGGCGAAGCCGTAAGTTGTTATGAAATGTCAAGAATCCGGAAGACGGTCCAGCAGTCTTCCTGTCTCCAGTGCAGCAACACTCGCGCTACGGCGCTCTACTTCTAACGTACATTGCCTTTCACCAACCTTCGGCCACTCTTTTGTGAGGCCTACGGCAGTTTGGTTTCCTCCGGGAAACGGCACTTCCCACACAGTCACAGACACGGTCGCCTCTGGGCGCGCACTGTCGTGGCGCTTGTGGAGATTTCAATGCGCTGGAAGCAAGAAACCGTTAGTTCTATATTGCTAAACGATCAAATAAATTATTTTTTTCTTTTCTTCCATATATTATAACTATAGTATATTATTGTATTGGAATTGTCTGAAAATTACTGTTTCGATTTTTTAGTCATAATACCCGTCTTTGAGATTATTTTGAGCTGTAACTTTGCACGCATGCCAGGATTAAGGTCTATGGATGTTGTTTCAACGATAGTTAAGATTAGTGCAGATGGCGAGAAGATACACACAATGTTGTTCTGGAAGATAGGTATGCCTGTCCGTATGTGTGGATTAAATTGAGTAAATTAAATCAGCATTTCCTACTATAGTTGTGCAAGGCCTCCTCCTCCTGCGCCGGGGGTAGCTAATAGGTTTTCACCACCAGGGGAGCTGGACCTGGAGTGATTCCGTTTACTGTTCACAGGTAGATTAGAAGTTTTTGAACTGAAACTTGGTAAATATGTCAAGAGTAAGATTTAGATTTTCTTTTCTGGAGATGGGTTTTCTGGGATTAAGGTATGTTAATTTTACTTTTATTTTTTAAGTTATTTTATATGAAGCCACTTTTAAAAATTTAATGAGATAAAATCAATTGAACATATTTTTGAACTTTTTAGCTATAATTTCTTAAAACTTTTCTTGTTCGCATAGAAGAAATGTGAATTTATAAATACTGTACATTTCAATTTTCCCTAAAATATCTAAAGGTTTGAAAATTGAAAATCTTCAATTTTTTTTCTCGAACCTACTCTGCACCTCCAATATTAAAGTCAGATATTTCTTTCTGAATGAATTTATTTCTCAATTTTAGATTATTAAATAATATCAACATTTACAAAATGTTGGTAGTTGTTGAGTAATAAACCTAAGAAGATGAAACGTATCTCCATTAGTTACTTATGAATTTATTTTGAAATTAAAATATATAAATTCAAATACCTAGACGCAGGATCGAGAAGATTTTCTTTAAAACTAACATGAGTAATAGTAATTCATTTGAAGTGTTATAGTATCTGAACCAACTCATTTGGGAGATTTGTCTTCATAAAATATTTTTTTTTGGAATCTCACAAAAGATAACTACTCTACAAACCCTTCTAAAAATTGAGAAAACAAATGTTTCCTCTGTTGTCTTCGAAAGACATGATGCTGTTAAAATTAGGCCAGCCTGCAAAATGTTCATTGATTACAATACTACTTTGTCACATATTAAACACTACTTCTCTGTAATCTTCTAGTTTCTTTCCACTGAGATCTTCTGAGTTGCAGAAATGTGAGCCATGCGTTGCACATTTCATAACTTTCACGTATTTACTTTCTCAAAATACGAACTACGGCTTTATCTGCAGTTTTTTCCTGTTGCAAAAGGACACAATTGCACTGTCACTTCCTCTCTCCGTAATGCAATATCATTGAAGGCAATGCCCGTTAACATTCATGGGTTACCCGATTTATTATCTCAACCTTAATCTTAGCTTGCAACCGCAGTTACGAACACCTACTTGCCTTCAAGATAAGTTTGCAATGGTTTCAGCGTTGCCAATTCCTTGTGGGGATATGAAGCCATTCCGGACCTCTAGACTGGCTTCCTGTGTCTTTTGCATGACAGCATTATTCTGCATTCCTAAGAGCTTGTACGATCCTACATTAGAAATGCAAGGGCGGGTGCGGATTGCATATTCCTTAAAACATAATTTCAACGTAACTGTTGGACATTGTTGCATCTAACCACTTCGCCGGATTTTAACATTTTACCGTTTTTGCAGTTGGTAGTCAAGTACTCTAACCTTGCTACACCGAAACCCTTTCTACCCCTAATTTTTCCCCTCACACATTTTCGTGCTGGCCTGTTCAACACAATATCACACAGTACTTAACAATAGGATAACTTGGGGTAGTCTATAATGTGACGACCATTCCAATTCTCAATTCATGAAAAAAGTGTCTTTTTAGAAACATTAAATTGCACATCGCATTTCCTCTCCATCCACATCCTTAATCACATTTATTTTTTACTGCAAAAATCTAAAAGCCTTTGACACCTCTGAGATATTATTTGTACATTTTTCTAAAAATCCGAAAAGTTCACAGAAATTGTGTGTGTACGAGAGGGAGTCAGTCAAACAGGGAAAGAGAGACAGACATACAGACAAGGACAGAGAGAGCGAGAGAGAGACAGAGGGATAGAGAGACAGAGAGAGGCCGGTAATTTTTGTCTTATTTATTCAATTTTTGCCTATTTCAGGGCGATAATCAAAATGCGTCTTTTATAATAATTTGGGTAATAACATTTTTAGCCGAAATTTGAAGCCTTTTTTCAGAATAGTAGGTTCATTGTTTTGGAAACGAGTCATTGTTTTCAAATATACGCAAGTTACTTAACGTTAGGTTGATAAAATAATAAATAATGTATGTATTATGATGGTAAATTCAAGTAATAAAACAATTGAACATTTATAATTTTCGAAAATTTACATTTCGGTGTAGTTTTGGTAGTTATAATTGTGAGAAATTTATATAGCATTTTAAGGGCGATTGACTGCTTCTGTAATGAGTAAAAGAGGATATTGGGATCGACCTTTGAGAATCGTTTTAAAATGTAGTGGAAGCATTATGTAAAACGCTTTTCTAAAACTAAACATATGATCTCATAATTCGGAGTTGGTTAGATGGTGTTATTAATACGCTTTTGTCTATGCATTTATTTACTGTAAATTAACATGCTATCCCTTCTTCTCGAAATAATCTTGAAAATCGAGTCTTCATGAAAACGAGATGAAACAGGTACGTATACGAATAACAGATTTCCGCTTTTCGCAGGATTAAAGAACTGCGAAACACCAGAAGTAACTTGGCGCACGTCTCAGCGCGTTGGCCAACGCCAACTAATAAGCATGGGGGCCATTTAAGGGAAACCACTCCGCAGCAAATGTCAACTGCCGCTGCGTCTTGACATTGCCACATGCCTATTCACTCGCTGTGGATCTGCAGAGGGCAGCTGGGAAGCCCTTCGCGTTTAATTAATCCTCGACCTTGACTAAAAGTGGATGGTTAAGGCGTTCTGACACGTCAGTCCTTGCGTCAAGATTCTCTATAAAAACACTTCGCAAACTTCGAGGTCCTTAGTGCAGTTCTTGCAACTCGACTAGAGCTGCCTGAGGAAAGCGACGTATTCTACATTTCTTCCACTCATTATGCGATTGTTAGGGTGAACCGAACTAAACGCGACAAACGTGTCTTGTCCTTTTGTCAGAATTGATTGATTGTTTTAGAGATTCCGAGCACGTCAACTACCCTTAGTCCCGTTTTTTTACTCAGGAGGTAGCAGTGATATTTCCCCCGCTGTTTGGCGAAATTCGGCGCGACCTACATGAACAAAAATGTACATCACATATTACGTACTTCAAAAACATATAAGCAATGATCGTATGAATCAAAATAATAAACGAATAATTATTACTACTTTTTAAGCAATCATGTTAATATTTGTAGTACAACAATTTAAGTTAGCAACTGTTACTCTACTCATAAATAACATCAATCATCCAAACCCAGAAGTCGCTTTATATTGCACAGATATGTTTACTTCAGCTATTTGAACGTGACGGCCCAAAGAGAGCAGTTGTTTTGGCAAAACTTCTTAATTTGTTTGGAAAAACAAGTAAATTGTTTATAATTTAAAATATCGATATTCTCCTTTATACGCCACGACTTCAACATAAACAAGTATTACGATAAGCATGTTGGTTTGACACTAGCTGACTAATGGAACAATATAAAATATTTCACATGAATAAATGTGTTACATGTAAAACATTTGGTCTTAGCATATTACAAATATAAAAAATGTAATCGTCAGTTATATTTACCCGTTCTGGAAAGTACACCGGCAAAACATCTGAGTCAGAACTGAATAGTCTTTCTCCTTTCCAACATTAACACCTGTTGTTCTGTCATACGTGCCCTTACTTTTCGTACAAAGTAATTCTTTCATGGCTTTGTCAGCTTCTTCTAATATTTCATCCAGAATACTTTAATATTTTCCATTTTTAAATATAATTAACAAACACAATTATTCTCTAAGACACTAAGGATATCATAAATACATTGCAAGTCCATCCAAATTAGGTCTTGTTCGATATGACGTCAGATATCTACCTCTAATGGTAAAGATATGACTGAATTTCTCAAAATTAAAATTATTCTTTAATGGAAATGAATAAATATTGAACGTAACACGCGGATAAAGGGATATAATTGCACTCATGCTAAATAAGATAACCCGCTCCTATCGTCGCTCGTTTTCTTGAACAGATTTCTTACAATTACAACCATCTTTATAAATTTGTTTTGTTAATTACTATAATGGAATTTCAATCGCAGAGAAGCGCCTTAGAAACTAAGCAGCAGCCCGCTTTGCGTATGAGGATTGCAACTTTGCAACTTTTCGAATAATGGGGAGAAGCGGACACGATAGGCGCCACCACCTACGATATCCCTGCCACCTCTTGTACCAACACGTCACCTCTGCCACTGGTGGATACGAAAGGCATTCCTACTGACATCGCTGTCACCACCATCTCGTCCGCCTAAGGCGTGCTCGAGAGCACCCGCCTCGCTTTTGGAGAGCGCACGTTTCACTTCGGCCGACGCCTTCGGGCTCGGCGCGAGAGGTGCGGCGGTCGACCTGCGAGTGAAGAGGTTTGTGACGCAGACGCTCTTCACATGCGTTGTCCCCGCAGCCTAAGGAGAAGGCTGAAGTGGCTCAGGGCTTCAACTCCACTCCAATGTGTGAGCGGGAGGTCCTAGGGTTCTAGTCTCTCTGTGGCAGGATTTTCGACATTAGCGAGATAGGTAGTCGAATTCATCCGCTGTCAGAAGGGGAATTGTGTTGACCATCTGCTCTGATCTATAGTATTTTGGTAGTTGTACGGTCAACACCAGGCGAATGCTGAAGCAGTACACTAACAAACTCGCGCTATCTTCCCTTTCTGTGCCTTGAAGTTAGTCTCTTCTAATCATTAACGATACGTACTTACCTTTCTCTTATATGTAATTAACCATGATTTGAATTTTGTATAATTGCCAATCGATGCAAATTTATTTTGCAACTGAAAGAGATGCCCCTTCCACGAAGTAATTTGTTTGATCCCACATCAAAATGGAATAATTGACGAACGGAAAACTAAAACCAAAACGCAATAGATTTAGGAAAATCCGTTAATTTTGTAACAAGAAACTTTGAAAAATTAAGATTGGCAAAAATGAAATGATAATGTGTACTTACACTTGAAGGGTAGGTTACTGTACTGTAGGGAACTTTCTACTGTAGGATAATTTGAGACTTTACTTACTTTACTAAACTTTATAAAAGTTGGAAACAAAATTCATTGTCCTTCCAACAATCAGATTTAGTTTCTCGCAACTAAGAAATAATTAAAGAACTTTAATATTGGCACAACTCAAAATGTAGGAATTTTGATTGACTCCCGTCATTTTAAACCCTTTTGTAATAATTGGTTATGTCCATTTGCAATAAGCATTTTGCATTTTAATAATGTTTACTTAATCTAACTAATTAGTACGAGTGAGGCCTGTACGTCACAGGCGGTAAAAATGTAAACATCCTTATTAAAATAAAGTGTTTAAAGTTTAAAATATTTCAAAACATAATTTTTTATGTTCTGCCAGAATGGCAGTCCATGATATCAGCTGATGTCATGCGAGTATGTAGAGGCCTGAATAGTATATTCCTATAAGAGTGATTATTCCCACTTCACAAGTTTACAAGGTTATCTAAATGTTAGGAATAATAATTTAGTGGTCATTTGTGTGCTGATTCCGCGTTTTATTGGAAATTTAATTAATTTATTAACATAAATACTGGGAAATCCATTGGGAAAAATATTTCAATTTTTCCAACAATTCTTAATAGGTTTTCAATGAACAGGTGTGAAACGAATTAATCAAAGGACATGCGAGAAATGCGCTAGTCTGATCAGTCATAGCAGAGACATTTGTTTGGAAATGCAACACCCAGGGAAATATTTTCACCAGTTTCACTCTATTGTGTGAATAATGTCATGATACATTAAGGAGTTTTATTTCCACTGTTCTCTCTGTTAATCTTGCATGACATGCTTTAAGGAACGCCATTCGTCATTGTTACGTGTTCTTTCGAGCAGAAAAAAGTTACTGTGTATAACTGTAAATTGTCCTTTCCCACGATAGCTTTCATCCTCATTTGCATGCACTTGCACGATATCAAATATTCTTTTCAAGGTCACTCGAGCAAATCATTTTTCGAAGAGTTCATAAAACAACGTAAATTGAAATTTCAGACATTTTAATGAAGTTAGATAGGCTTGCGCAAGTTCTTTGTCTGCTTAACCCGACGAACAAGCCATTCTGATAGTCCTATTTCGTCATTATGATGATCTGTAATGGGTGGTCCTTGGGGCAACGGTGAAGTATTTATGATCGCAATTCTGCATGGGGAGGCTGTTGACATTTGCGCTTCAGTAGCTGCCACAAAGTGCCGGTGAGTAAGTTTGAGTTGGGTCTCGACGTGTCGCAAGGCTGAACGCATCTCGGGAGATGCGCCCAGAGAGTGACTGGGGGGTCGAAAGGGCTTCAAGCACCCACGACGCCACTGCGACTGCCAGGCTCGATCTCACTCGCGTCCTTTGGCTTTAGCCAGCAGCGAATCTAAGTTTGTGTTCGAGTTTGTTTGCGAAGAAATTATCTTTTCTAACGTCCATCACGACAAATCCATACCAGAATATCCATACGGGACATATAACACACTCAAGATTAAGTTGTATCAGTTAATTACATACTGCAACTCATGTCCAACAATTAATGCGTACGTTCTTCTGGGATCTAGAACCACGCTTTGAAGGTTACTCATCTCGGATAGTCTTTTCATTCAAGAGAGAAATGTGAGCAATAGTCATTACGTCTTCGTATTTGTAATTTCCCTCTCATTAATCTTTTGCGCTCTAATGAAGATTAATGATGATGAGGTAAAATTAAAGGAATCTCTCTCTTGTTAGCACCTCCTCATGCATCATTTGAATATTAAGCCAATTAAAGGTCATAGTAGTGTAGTACAATTTTGGTGCGGTGCAGTCCGATCCTTTCACTTTTTGACTCTATGCATAACGGTGTTTTTAGCGTTACGTCTTGGGAGAGCGAAGTCGACCTCAGTATTGAATATATTTTTCTACGGAATGACATTCACAAGACGACTGGACTGGGTATTATAATTTAAACTTATCAAATATTACTGAGGCTCATTAGTAAATTACAGGAGTTACACGTTGGTCGTTAAAATTTCCACATCTGCATATTATTAGTGCTTCATCATCGTGTTTTCCAGACGTAACTGACTAATGATCATAACGGAACAAGTGGCTTTAATCATATTGTCGAAAAACCATTCTGAAATAGACTTTTTAGTCCTTGGATACTTCCCAGAAGAGGCGAAGTGCAAACGTGAAAACCAACGTGGCCGAAATAGTCACGAGGAAATCGTGAGGCATCCTGCCAAGAGGTCGCGACCACCTGCTGGTCTGGCTGCAGTTGTCGCCACTGCCACAGACACTGCTTTGTAGTGCAATCTCTGCCAAGGGACATGCCATTGTTATTCCAGCAAACCATCCGCAACACTTTTGCTTCTATAAAACATAGATTTTTGTCATTAAAATTTGATGACTGGTAGGTAATAACCATTGTATTATCTGTTATTAGGTACAAAAAAGTGGCATACTTGTAAATCAAATAAGGTGAATAAAGATTATATTTGGGAGCTCGTTAGTTACCAACCCAACTTGACACACTGGCATTACGTCATATCATAGAAAACCTGTTGCCACAATTGTGTCTAATATTAATAGCTAAAGCACCATATCTAATTTCTTCGTTTTCCTCCCACATAGTTTCCGTCGGGGCTATTATTTCTTTGACCACGACATTAAGTGGTTTATTTTTTAAATTTTGTTAAGTCCGCTTTACATGCGTTTGTCTTTAGTAGAGCCTCCACTAATCCCCAACTTCACCTACCTCCCTAGCCGCGGGGTCGTCGCTTGGAGGAAGAATTCCAAGGCCCCGTTCGAGAATTGGCGTCCTCCTGAGACGATAAACGCGCCTGTCCACGCACTCGTCTTCGCCCCCTTCCCTCCGCACCCGGCGGCGGCCGCCTTCGCCGCTCCGCGAACCAGTTTTCTGCACGCGGACCTTCCCCCTTGCCGATGCCACCTTACTTGCCTCTCACCACACCGTCCACCGCTGCCGTCTGCCTGCCGGGGCTCCGTCTTTCCCAGATCCTTGCTGCTCCCTTCGGTGTCCGCGCTGCCCTTGACGCGGCTTCCTCCATCGCCACCTCCACCTTCGCAGGCGGGTGCGCGAAGCGGGATGGGGCGAGGCGAGGCGGAGCGGGGCGGGGGCCCTACATTCCTTGGCGACTGCGGCCGGGGCGGGGGCAGGGCAGATGCGGCAGGACGCCGCCCCTTGGGCCGCTGCCCTTGGCGCGACCGCTCGCCAGGCACAGTGGGCGGGGCCGACGAACCCCGGCCGCGTTCAGTGCCTCCTTTCTGATACGTCACCCTTTCCCGCGTTCAAGGACGTCCTGGCTTCAGCTCATCCGGGAGGTCTGGAAATGGAGCGAAAATTGCACCACAATATAGGTCTTATGTAAAAAAAGTACATTTTACGGCCTCACAGATGGAAATCGTGTGCATGTAGTTGCTAAATGGCGAGGTTATGGGATTAACTACATTTTATATTCACATTTTAATATCAAAATTTATACAATAAACAAATTGTTAGCACGAATTCGCTTAACATGAATTTTGCTTTAACCCGAAAAAAACTTCGGTCCCGGCAAGAAATTACTGTCATACGGATATTTATAATACTCAGATAACACGAATTTTTGTATGACGAACTCCAATTATATCGGTCCCTTGGAATTCATGTCAATGAGGGTTTACTGTATTTCAATATGTCTCACAGGTTGGTCTGCACCGGATCTCTCCATCCAACTCAAGAGCGGCGGAACCAATTTTCATTATCTATGATACGGTGGCGGAACCAATTTTCATTATCTTTGTTGGACTCATCTCCGCCCGGAATAGCAGAATAACTACTAAAATATCGGACAAATTCACAGAAAAAAGAATTAAAAAAACAATATCGATGCTAAATGCAACCCGGAACACACGACACATTGTTTTACAATATATCGTTAAATAACTCACAAATGAAGCGCTCTATGGCATTAACCCATAGGAGAATTGACACATGATAAGAGCTTTCCTTCTGCTTTCCGCAAAGATCCCATGTGTAGGTTTCAATGTCACGCTGATTCACTGGACCGGGCGCGCGTGGCACGGGGTACAACGGACAGCGTTCGCTGCGACAAAAGGCGCCAGGAAACTGCTCTCGTTGTGTTGACAGAGCTCATTCCAACACCATTCGATGACTGATACTCTGCTACTGGAATACTTTATATGGGCAGCTCCGAAATTGTCCGTTAAAATACACGAGAAGCAAAAATGTATGCGTGTTGCACTCCGTGCAACAGCGCACCTGCTCGAGGGCTAAAAACTAAAATTTTGAAGTCAAAGGATTCAAAGAAACGTTTCTTACACCACAATATACAGGATGAGATCTGGTTGAACAGTTAATAACATTTTTTCTGGTTTTCATTTTAATTTCAATTCATTATAATTCAATTTCCATTCAACCTCCGATTCACTCGAGCTTCACTGTTGGTGGCCGTTGCTGTGTGACCGGGTGGTGTGACCGATGGTTGAACTGAGTAGTCTGTGTTTGAGTTGGAATGCAAAAAAGTTCTTAATTAGTTCTTAATAGTAATTAATTTAATAGTCATGATAATAAACTCAATAAGACTCATGAATGATAAACTCAATATGAACTCAATGTGGTACCAAAATATATTCAACTTGTACAAACTTTGTTTGTGTTGTGATAAGAAAGAAAAGTTTATTTCGAAATCCTACTGATAGCGAAAGGTTGTGGCATTCATACGTGTACAGTTCAAAACTAGAATGAAAACACTTCGATTTTAAAAAAGCACTAGCTCTATTCTATTCGCGATAATATTTTCTCAACTCTTTTCTTAAAGTTTTTTAGCAAAAATAAACAGCAACTGATTTTCTGTTTATGAGTCTTTTAATTATAAATACTTGAGACTAAGTACCTAGTTCTAGTCGCACCACGCCAGGTCATTTGCTTTTCCCTACCATTGCGTTCATGGATTAATTGTTGTCGTTAATTGTGTTACTTCACGAACCGAATGCTTTTCCTTATGATTTCTGAATCTGCAGAGGTAGGCCGGATCCACAAATCAATGGTAGACGTCTTCTTCGACCATTTAATTGGTAATAGCTTGCCATCTCTTTCTTCTCGCTGTAGCGAGCGCCGGCTTCGGGGTGGGAGGGCCATTGATCGCCGTCGTCCTTCGGGAGCAAGACGCCAGGTGGAGAAGGAGAGGTTGTCCACCGACGAGCCGCTTGCGTAGGTGTCAATAGGGGAAGCTACTGTCAGGGGTAGGACACCGCCCCTAGAGCATCTTCAACTAATATTTCAGTATCATGGCTCTCGATTCAGCACCCCTTCCGGCACCCTCCTTCCCCCTGGCGACGCTGCTGACGCCTCTGGTTGGTAGGCGTATGCCATTCCGGAGCAACCGAGTGCCCTG